TTCCCTACAATGCAGGTATTAAGAGCATAATGAAAGTAAACTTTTAACAGTCCAGACTCGAAATGCATTTACTCCTGTAATATTTACATAACTGTACAGTTTAGGAGGAAATAAACCTATCTGCGGTACAGAATATTCACCAAGGCAAGACTCTTTAAATAAATCTGCATTTCTAATTTCACATCTGCTTCTCATGGTTACACAGATGTTCTAGAAATTCATCAACTGCATTTCCTCTTTTGCACACACAGAAAAGAGGAAGCAGAACCCTCACCACCAACTTCTCTTCATATGAAAATCTCTTGCAGAGCTCTATCCCGCTGAGTTATTTTCCTCAGCAAGCAGACTAATTAATGTAACACATTGACAGATGGCGAAAGCTTAGATCCCAAAAGCTAGCAACAGGGGCAAACTGGCACAGTTCAAAACCTTTACAGGTCAGTCATCTTTACACTAGAGATGCCTCAGATTGTTATCAGGGATGCCCCACATCGTAGCTTTCTTCAAAAAAATTATAAAAAATTAACTATAGAGGATATTTGTTATGATATGAAAGCTGTAAAGAAGCCATGAAGAACACGGGAATATAGGGCACTCTGGGGATGGAGGAATCCAATAAAGCAGCCATTCAATTAACGTCTTGAACAGGGACATGAGCCTAGCAATCACATCAACAGAGCAGAGAGTGAGTGCATTGCAAAGGCAGAGGTAAATAACCAAAACCAACACCTCACCCCCATAAGTCTCTGTACTAATACAACATGCTTCAGTAAGATTAATTAGCAAGGAAGAAAGCAGAGGTGAATAAATGACGAAGATTTGTTTAATCTTAATAAATTTTAAGATTAAATTCATGAAGTATGTAATGAATTCTTTGGGTATGAGCAAACTAGGGGGAGAGGGGGCACCTTGGCCTATTCTGGACTCAGTCTAGAGCTTACTCCACCCCATAAAACTGCACCTTGGAGGACAGCTGAAGGCAAGATGGGATTCAGCTAAAGAAAGCTGAGAAGTACAAAAATTTATTCTAGATAGTGGTGCCAGCTATATTTCAAGCTTGCATTAGATTCCTTTTTAAACTTTTCTTTTGAAATTACCTTTTTAATTTTGTAAAGAAGAATGTAATCCTTTGCTTTGCTGAAAGAAAATGTCTTTTTCATTTTAAGATTGGTTGAAGATAGTCTGAGCTGAAACTGAACTGAAACCATTCTGCTTTCCTCAGTGCAGCGAATCTGAGTAATACATTACAGAAAAATCTGAGACATCTGTGACCCCAGGCAAGACCGGGGATTGTGAATGTTTCTCAACAGGCAGCAAGAGTCTGCTTGTCAGCTGATACTGTCTTGTCTTCAAGTTCATAGAATCATAGAATCATAGAATGTTTGGGTTGGAAAGGACCTTTAGAGGTCATCTAGCCCAAC